ATAGAGACAAACTGCTACAAATTCAAAACAAAATACGGCTCTTTTGTCACTCTGCAAAGTCAGTGGTTTAGTTTTGTAAATCCGTGGACCAAAGAACTAGAATATATTGTGTCAACTAACACAGTCATCTCGTGAGTATATGGTTCAGTGGATTTGTACATTTGCTTATGTATCTGTGAGTGCGTCTGTATATATGTGTGTTAGTTTGAATTTTTCTCTTTGCTCATCCTATGACCAGATATGATCCCAGTCGAGCAGGTCGGTCAGGAAATAAATCTGAACAGTCGAGCAATCCCAAGGCTTCTGAAGGTCTTTATAAAATTATTCTATCAACACATTATTTGGTTGTAGGGGGCCTTCCCCCCCCCCCCTTTCACTTATTTAACTCTTCTGTTCTGTCTTATTTTTTCCCTGTCAGACTGTAAAAAGTCCCCTCCTATTATACCGGGCATTTCCAGCACACCTGGGACTATGATATATGCCGGAAGCATAGGAACCCAGATTGCCAATGAGCTACTGGATTTCAACAGGTATGTACTGGATATAATTACTTTAAAAACACACAAGTCCAGCATCGGCATCTATGCTCTGGTTACTTGGTGTTGTTGTAGATGAAGGATACTGCTGTTTTAAGTTGTTCTGTGTGGGTTTCCTTTAGGACAAACTCATCACCTTCCAGTGGTAACGTCAGTCCCTTCAGTCTGCCACAGGACAAGTCCCCACAAATTCACAATCAAATCAGCAACAGCGTGAGTCATGCCGGCTGTTTATCCAATCAATCCAATCAACTTCATGCATCCTTGATGCATGAAGGAGCATTTCCACAGGTCCTTCTTCCCTGCAGCTGTCAGACTGTACAATCAAAACTGCTCCCAACAAACATAGAGGTTTACATCAGCGCTGTAACTTGCACTATTTTATCAACCGATTCACACTATAACCAGGGTTTGCCTCTTATCTGTATTTAATTTTATTTAATTTAATAACGGTACAGTACTCTGTTTTTGGTAACCATTGTCCTTGATGTAAATATGTAAAAACTGTGTATGTTTCTGTTCTGTGTCTTGTGTACTGTTTGTTTGTATATGTGTCTTTCTTGCTGCCGTTACACCCAGATTTCCCCTTGTGGGACTATTAAAGGATTATTCTATTCTATTCTGGCTCACATAAAACATTTTTAGAAGCTGAACTATGTCTAAGATGTGATGTGAGGGTTATAGTGTGCTCCCTTTTGGTCTTCAGGTCCCAAATGGAGAAACATCAGACATGGAAATACCAGGAAAGTCCAGCTCAGAGAGTGAGCCTCAAGGTGCTGCATTCTCAGGAGGAGAGACTCTTATGGGTACTTCCACTCATCGTGTCTATAAACTTTGTTATAATAAACTGAGTCACTTGCTGTATTTATTTCTTCCCTATTGCAACCTGGTAACTTTTCCTTTTTGTTTTCACTCCACCTTACCCCAGGAGAAAATTCCCAGTTGGATTTGGAGAGCGTGGTTGGACCAGGCCTGAATAGCCTCAGCAGTGATGAAGCAGCTATGGCAGTGATCTGGAGCCTTTTGGAGACGGACACAAACTTGGGAGAAGCTGTGGACTTTGAAGAGATGCACTGGTCCTTATAGAATCTGCATTACAGTGTGAAACGGCACGCTGGAAAACACCCGGATCCTCATTTTGATGATGGCAGAAACTGCTTGAAGCTTACTCAAAGGAGCAGCATTCTGTTTTTGTTTTTTGTTTTTTTTTGTTTTGTTTTGTTAAAATTTAATATATTAGTTACTCTTCTCCACATAAGCTGTCTAGTTTTTGGGTGGCTGCTCAAACAGGAGCAGAATTGGCGACATTAAGGGACACCTGCTTTCCCTCTTCAGAAAGAGGATGTGCCTCTTAAACGTTGCAGCTGCCCACCCACTCACCTTGAAACCCTGTTCCTCTCCTCCCTGCTTTCTTAAATCTGCCGTCAGCCTCAGAAAGGTTGAAGAAGCCGTGAACGCACAGAAGAGTGATATGATGTACATCATGATGGCTCTGGATCCTTGCTTCTATTTCTCTCCACCTACATTTAAACAAAGGTTGGGAGTGGTGACGCAAAAAACAATTGCACTGAATTGATTTCTTTTTTCTTTTGTTTTTAAAGTTGTAATTTCATTAGGTACTGTATGCTTGACTAAAATGCAAGAGGACACCCTAAAAAACTGGCCAAGCTTTGCAACCCTTCCCTCAGGATCCAAAACGGTGGGTTTAAAGCTTACCGTGGCAGACCACACTTCCATAACCTCTACTCTCTTTGAGAGTCACCTAAAGACGTGGCGCTCTGAGATTTTCTCTTGTCAGTATCTGAACATTTTTCTCACAAACGGTGTAGTAACCTCTTCTCTTGTATGCTAACATATGTCGCTGTTTATATGTGGGGTCGATATGATATCAAACACCATGTCTTCAGGCCACATGTGTCTTAAAGGGATAGGTTGCATAAAAAGCCTCAGAATTTACTAGTTCCACCTTCAAAAAATTTTAGTTGATGAGCTGCCAGTTTTGATGGCTGGTCATTTATGAGCACTACAGTACAACTTCATGCAAATCAGAAGGGCACTTTAGAAGTGCTGATATTAAGGGTTGGTAGTGATGGCTGAAGAGCGAACCCATTTCACATCTTCTCAGTACGTGTTTGAGACTGATGCGAGTCAGGGAGTTATCAGCTTTTAAGATTTTACACACTTCCCTGCATACTGTACAAGTAGTATCAGTACTTGTTCACCTCTGAATCTTTGTTCTTATTGTTGTCTCTATAGTCGTGCAGGTAAGCCATACCTTCTATCGTTTCTTCTTTTTATGCACTGACAGTCTGAGAACATGTTTATGTGCTTGTTATGTGGCACACAGGGTTGAAATGGATATGTTTGTTAAGGGATTGTGCTATGCAGAAGTGTCATTCCAAACTTTTTTCCCCCCCTCCCCTTTATTTCCTCTTGTGTAATAGCCACGTGCATGCCTCCTGAGTGTAGAACATTTGCAGAGCTGTGGTGTGACATTTGTGAGAACTTGAATGGTCCACGGAGCAGTATGGATCCCATTGCCATTTACCTCATGTAGAGTTTAGGATTGGCCATGCTTTCAGTTGCACATTCTAGCTTTTTACTAAAGTAATGAAACCTCTGATAGCCATGATTTGATGATCTATTTGTTAGTGATCCACTGCTGAGCGTGGCCATGAGTGGCTCTTAGTTATGGAGTTACCAAAGTGTTGTCGTATGCTAAATTAAAGGGTGTCGGCTTGAGATCCTGGTGAGACCAGATAATGTAGAAATTTACTTTATAGGTCCATTAAAGTAAAGTTATTGCATTTGGCTGTTTTTTTTTTTTTTTTTTTTTTGTTCTTTGTTTTTATAAGAAATTTAACAACTTGAGTATATACATCCCCTGTTATAAGTTACTTAAAAATAAATCCTCTATGTCTAAACATTTAGTGATTACACATTCTTTTAACTGAAATCTTTAACTTTAAGGAGATTTTTTTAAATTAAAACATGAACTACTGAAATCCAGCAAAATCATTTGGTTTGTGGCACATGGATTTTTATACCGTGTGTGTGTGTGTGTGTGTGTGTGTGCGTGCGTGCGTGTGAGATATACCAGTTGTCCACATATACCAGTGTTGTCCACTGAGCTTTCGGGGTCAAAAAGGCTGCACGTCTATGTGTTATCTTCACATAATCGTTATAATGAAACGGTGCAGTCTTAAAAAAAAGTTCCTGTTTGCTTCTTGGGAATACTTTTTTCCCCCTCATTTCTTGAAGGCCACGTCAAGATTTTTCAACAAGAACTCGTATTTCGAGGCTGGAAAAGCTTGTTGTGGATCATGCAGAAAATAGTCTGTTATATCTAATGCTTGAATTTTTAAGGAGCCGGTTGATGGAGCAGCTGAACTCTCAAGAGGACTCCTCCTTACTTGTGTCCGGTCTGAAGTGCCTTTGGACACAAAATGAACCTCTACTGCTTTTTGGAAACGGTCTCCGACGTGGCGCCTCTGCAGACTTTAAAAGGAGGGCTGAAACGTATCACTGAATAAGCTTGATGAAACGTGGCATGCTGTGCACATCAGAGATGAAACTGGAGCTGCACGTAGTTGCATCAGTGCTCTCTTTGTAACCGAACATGTAGAGCTATGAAGCTGTGCCATAGATGCAGACTGGTCCTTTTGAAAGGCAAAAAGTCAGTATTTTTTTTCATCGTGTGTATTGTGGATGTCATTGCATTCTTGTGAACGCCACTTTCCCAGAAAACTAACGCATCAGCTTATGTGGTTTATTAGTGATGAACCTTTTTAAAGAGGTGTATGTTTTGCTTCTGTCTGTTCAGAATAAAATAGTTTTTGTAAGGTAGGGAATGTTTTATTTCATGTCCGTGTCTGTGTGTAGCTGCATGTTGCTTTGGTTTTACTGATTTAATTTTTAAAAACAATTGCATTATTTGAAATGGAAAGTCGAGACTTGAGCGCCAGTTGCTCCACCAGAGGCAGGACCTGAACTCTTGGGGTTATATTTTCCAGGCTATTTGCCAGTTTGCTACTGCCGCTGTCCATACTGGTTTCTGCCACAAGTTTAGTCATGTTCGATATTCGGGCTCCAGACGATGTTGTCTGATGGATTATTGTTGCTATTATCAACATGTCTGGGCCGTCTTCCCAGGTTGTGAATAAATATTAGTTTACTGAAACTTCAGCTGAAACTTTGGTTGATTATTTATTTTTAAATGATTTCTTGGCTCTGATAGAAACACCCTTCAGTCTGCAGTTGCATGGCCCTTGGTGATGTGCACTGTCTTGAGTAATTACATTGTTCTCTTTGTCCCCCCACCTCCCCTCATGTGAGGAGATTAGCTCAGAGTAATTTGTCAGATGTGATAAGGCAGTCCTGGAGCAACTAAGAAAGCATAGCGTAAGCTGGGATTTCTGCAAAGTAAAGTCAGTGGTGAGTGCGGAGCTGCTTTGTCTTTACAGTATGGGCCAAGCCGCTGTCCAGACTTGTGGAAGAAGCAAGTCCTATGTTACAGAGCTGTATGAATGGTTCAGGTAAGCTTTTGAATTTGTCTTAAATTTTTACAGGAAGTTGAAAACAGATGCAGATTTTCTTTAGCCTTAAATTTATTATTACGTTCATGCCCAGAACGGAACAGACATGGCATGGTGGTGCAGTGGTTAGTACTGAAGACTCAAAGCAAGTTGGTTCTTTGTTTGAACCTGCTAGCTGGGTGGAGCCTTTCTGTGTGGAGGTTGCATGGTTTCCCTGTTCCTGCGTGGGTTCTTTTTAGGTAATCCAGCTTTCTCTCACAGTCCCAAGATGTCCTTGTTAGGTGAAGTCCTGAAACCAGATTGACCATGGGTGTAAATATAAGCTGAGTGATTGCCTCTGCGTTGCCCTGAGTTAGACTGGGCGACCTGTCCATGTTTTATCCAGCTGCTCAACACAGGGGTGAAAATGAATGAATTATAGAACAACTTAAAGAGATTTTTTTGTTCAAAACAATCCTTGCACATCTATTATCCTGGACTTCAATTCATTCTCTGACTGAAACAAGCAGTTTTGCCTCCTGAGCCAACTTTGCTTTGATTGGCTGCCCCTCCAAACAACAGGTATAAACAGCAGCTGAATGGGAGCTTTTGACCACATTAGGAAATCTGCTCTCACTGATATCATCCAGAGACAAGAGTATTACAAAAATCTGAAATGTAGTTTTTAGAGCAATCTGGCGCTCATTGTAATTACTTGCACATATGCTAATTTCATTGTTAAATAATGTTTGAGCATATTTAAAATAAGCATCCATCAGCGCGAGAGTGTACTTGAATTTGGGATCAATACATTTATTTTTACTCTTATTGATTTTAGCATTGTAGGAATTTCCAGTGTATTTAGCCAGATTAGAATTTGTTGTTTTTGCAGGCAAATCTGCAAAACTAACAGCATCAGCAACAAAGTAAAGTATTATCTCCTGTGGACTGATCAGCTTCACTCTGCCATGATGTCATTTGGCCTAATTATCTTGGCACTTGTGCCGCACTCTGTAAATAAGCTTTCAAACACATGTAATCCACACAGGTTGGGGATGGGTTGACCTTAATTCCACTGATTCTCAATTTAAGACACATTTTCTCTCAAATCAGACCCCTCTCTCAAACTCCCCTTGTTTTCCAAATCCTTTGGTGTATTAAAACACAAACTGTTGTTTTTATCTGTGGCAGAAAGTTTGTTATCGAGTGTCCAAGTGGGCTAATCGCTCTTCACGAGTTTCAAAGGCATTTCTGTGATGGAACTGTGGGCAGTGAGTCAGCAGAGTATGCAGAACAGATTTTCCGCACGCTCGACAGCAATGGGGTAAGCATGACTCTATAGAGTAGGTCTATACAGTACAGGAGTCTTGAAAAAGTATTGAGTCACCACTCACTTCTTTATATTTTTGCCTCCATGAAATCCAGAATTGCAAAGTTTTAACCTCCTAAGACTTTAACTCTTTCATGGCATGCATTTTTAATTTCTCTTTGCTATTTGGGCTGATTGGGACCTGATGAATGTAAAAACAGTGAATTATGTGATTTTTTTTTTTTACCTAATTTTTGTTTCTAAGAAAAATGAGATCCACATATGAGGACATTGGCTTTAAATTTCAATAGAACAGTGGCAGTATAATATCCCTGTAAGTGGATATCAGGCCCTTGTAGAGCAAAATGTAGTATTCTGGTCTAAAACAACCCAAAATGTGATATCCACATATGTGGAACGCCAGGTCCTAGGAGGTTAAAGTAAACCTGAGTAATAATTATCCAGGTCTTCCAAAAAAGTATTCATAGAAAAACACACTTTTTTTTCACTCTTTGTGCTTGAAATATTTTAGAGGAATTATTTTTTTCACTTAACACTGAATCATTCAGGCAATAAAAGGGCACCTAATTCAAGGGATGAACCAGTGTTGTCTTCACATAAGTTTAACGAATAGCCCATTTAAAATTGTATCTGTAGGAAGCCTGTGAGCCAGTCTCAAGAGTACATAATTTGTTCCAATATCTTTGGATTCAAAGAGATTCAAGATTCAAAGCGTTTATTGTCATTTAATCTATGAAAAGTGCCAAAAATTAGATATTTTGACAGGCATAAATTTGTGGTAGTTTTGCTCAGAGATGCATCTGGGCCTTCAGTTGATCCATGTATTAGATTATCATGCTGAAGCTTAACCTCCTAGGACCTGGTGTCCACAAATGTGGACATCACATTTTGGGTTATTTAGACATAAATACTCAATTTTGCTCTACAAGTGCCTGATATCCACTTACGAGGACATTATACTGCTACTGTTCTATCGAAACGAATATCCTCATATGTGGCTTTCATTTTTCTTAGAAACAAAAATTTGGTAAAAAAAAAAAAATCTGGCAATTCTTTGTTTTTACATTCATCAGGTCCCAATCAGCCCAAATATCAAAGAGAAACTAAAAGCGCATGCCGTGGAAGAGTTCAGGTCTTTGGAGGTTAAAGAGAAATGGTCTCGTGGAAGGGTGTCTGTGAAGAAACCATTCATATAGAATGGAAACTGGAAGAAAAGGCTGAGGAATGAAAATTACACAAGATCTGGACTGAAAATCAGCTAAAACAGGTCTGGTGGCGAGATGAATCCAAATGTGAAATGTTTAAATGATTGTCAGAATGTAGGGGTCATGTCAGGGGATGGGTACAACAGTGAGTGTGTAGAGCCATTTTCTAAAACGCAATGGAGGCTCTGTAGGGGGCGGCCAGTGGTGGTGGGGATCTTGTCAAAATTGATTAAATTAAGAGTGCAAAGATTACAATCAAATTTTGATCCATCATACAATACCATCTGGAAAGACACTAATTAGCAACAGCTTCGTTTCTCAGCATGATGGTGATCCCAAACACACTGCCAGTGAATTAAAGGCGTATCTGTGAGATCATCTTGACAGAACTGAACAAAAGGCAGCAAACATCCAAAAATCTTTGAATGTCCTTCAGAAATAGTTCTCCAGGCATATTGAAGACAACTAAAAGAAAGGACATGCTTTCATAGTCATGCATCACAAAACTGAAACAAAACATTAACTGTGTGGTGCTTTTTTTTTTTTTTTCAGGATGGGGTGGTTGACTTCAGAGAGTATGTCATGGCCATCAGCATGCTTATTGAAGGTTCAGCTGTTGAGAAACTGCGCTGGTCATTCAAGCTCTATGACAAAGACCGAGACGGAGCCATCACAAAGGAGGAAATGCTGGAGATCATGCAGGTGTGCAGGCTCTGTGTCGTGGTATATAAAACAGAAGATGTGCCAGATGTTGCAGTTCGACTGATGTGCGTTTCTTTGTTCGGACAGGCTGTTTATAAGATGAACGTGGCTGCTGGTTTAACCAAACCGAACCCACTTACAGCTGAAGAATGCACCAGCAGGATATTTGTGAGATTAGATAAAGACAATAACGGTGAGGAAAGGTGGCGACTTTTCCCTCCTTTTTGCGTGTAATCATACTGCAATGTTATTTCTATGTGTATCAAAGTTGATTATATATGTTTCTATAGAAAAGGCAAACAATCCAATTAAAAATAAATAAATAAATCCACCACTAAAATGTGGTTTGTTTTTAAAAGTATCTTTAGTAACAACTTTAAACAATAAAAACATCCTTGAAGCCTATTAATGCATCTAATTGAAGACAAAACAGTAGCATGTTTGATGCTGATTAAAAATAACAAAATGCAAATGGATTGCTCAACCCACAAAATAAGTAAGAGGCAAAAATGTTAATCTAAAAGATATGATTTGCTCTTTTCCATTTTGATATAATTAAAGACAACCATATACAGAGGCATATTTTACTGACGGTGGTTCCCCAAATTTAGCCCCAAAACTTTCCATTCACTAGTATCAACCCTCACAGACATATTATTAACAGTCAGTCCGGTGGTGTTTGTCTAATCGGTGCCCGTCCTTGCAGCAATCATCAGTCTGGAAGAGTTCATAGAGGGAGCGCTGGATGACAATTGGATCAGAGAGATGCTGGAATGTGACCCGAGCACCGTGAAGGTGGGGAGGCCGCTGAAGAGGGACACCGCTTTGGAAAACCCACGGTTAATTTGAAGTGGTTCACTATTTAGGCACACTGGACCAGCCCGTGTTTGGGCTAAAAATTCAAGGAATTAAATTCTATCTTCATCTATTGTATAACTTTGTCGTAGCTGCTTTAGAGTGCTGTAACATTTGGAGCTTATTTTATCAAGCTTCCACAAGATGAAATGCCATGTTTGTGTTTTTATGTATTGCTCTGTTCTGGGTTATTAATATTCCTCAAACATACCAGATTTTAGAAAAAGTATAAATTTACATATGTAAATCCATAATGTACACATGACACATGTGAGTGAAAAAAGAAAAAAAAGAACTGTTATATTATTATTCTGCACTTGTGGACAGATTAACTTGCACAAAGTAATGGACCCTAATAACATTATCAGAATCAGAATCAGAAAGGGTTTTATTGCCAAATGTTGAGCAGGTTTACAACATTAGGAAATTGCTGCGGTGCTTAGTGCAAACATACTGTCATAAACGCTTAAATAGATATAAAAATAAAAATAAGAATAAGAATTAAAAGTGCTAAGTAGATAGATATATACATGAGTGCAGGTGGTGATCAAAGTTAAGAAGCTCTTCTCTGGTGTAAGAATATCCAGAGGAGTGCCCAGACACAGAAGTTATGCACAAAAACAAAACAGAAAGAAGACATCTCCACTAATGAGGCCTCACCAATGGGTATTCATGCTACATCAAAGTAATTGGGTAATAGACTAACAAAAATTAAAGAAAAGTTACTATTTTTTCACTACTACATTATTTATTTATTTTTACAGTAGATATATAGTGTTAAAACGTTTTCTGTGGAAAAAAAAACCATTTTAAACATGTATTTTTGAAATTACAGGACAGTAAATGACCAATGTGATTTTTAAAAAATGTAATTTTTACACATCTATTTCTTAAAATTTACGCTCGGAGAATCATGCTATTATTATTTTATTTTATTCTACTTTATTTATGTATTTATTTATTTTTTTTCGTCACTGACGCGTTTACACCACTTGGTGTCGCCTGTACTTCTTTAAAGCTCACTAGCCACAAAAGTAAGGCTTCCAAGAATTTAAGGAATACGTCTCTTCCCCGATCCAGGAAAACATGGGAAATTTCACTTTTGCGTTACTTAGCTCGACGGACCGCTGTGTGTGAAAGCCGCTGTTGGTTGTGACTATTCCTACATCAAGAAGACAATAAAAATGTTTTTTTGTTTTTTTTCAAACAGTTTCTGGTTTCTCTGAATCATTTCCCGTACCGGAGATGACTGAATCTCCCGCAGAAAACTCACAGCTCCTATGTTAGGCACGTTACAGTGAACGCACCAGGACTCCCATTTAAATTCCAGGCCAATCCAAGCCTGTAGCAGGGGTGGGATTTTTCAGCCATGACATGCAAAGTTTTTCAGCGACCCTGTCACTTCGACATCATGGCGTAGCGATGTGCACGGACGGCAGGGTCGTACTGGTGGGCACGGAGAAGTTCAGAACACAACTTTTGTGGATTTTTCTCAGAAAAAACGAGAAGACGAAACTACGGAAGCGCTGAAATTCTTCGAGAAGAGTTTGGGTACGCGTCCTTCTTGAGGCTACAGCTGTGATTTATTGTTGTAGTCTGCTAAAGTTACCGTTTAGTCCGAACAAGCTGCCGCCGTTGAGGCTCGCGCAGATGCGCGCGCATGTCTCACAAAGCTACCGTTTTATGGTCACTTTTCTAACTTTTTATAACCAGCAGGTCCCCGAGCTGTTAGGTTTTGTCTGGTTAGTGAAATCTGACTCGTGTTAGTGAAATCTGACTCGTTAACACTGTAAGAAACGAATGACGCAAAGTGTCCTAAATACCCGACTGTAGACAAAACGTTAATGTTTCAGCTTTACGTTAAATATGTAACAGAAGCTAACTGGAAGAAGTCTGTTTATGACCTGCCACATATCTAATCTCTGCACTGTGCCATTGTTTTCCATCGCCTGAGGCTGCTCTTACCCTCTTTCCCCCTCTGTGTTTTTTATCTGTTTCTAAAGTAACATTCATTTGGCTTAATTTGCCTTGCCCTAGGTGCTGAATTAGTGGGATTTATCTTTAGTAGTGATCGTGAACTGCCCCCGAATGTGAAGTAGACTTTCTGGAGTTCCTCTAAGAGACGTAAAACTTAATCAGTTGTTGTGTTAAAGTTTGGCCTTTTTGTTTCTTTAAAAAAGCTCTTGAAAGCAGCACACTTGTCTGGAAACCAGATGTTGCCAACAGTAATTTTGGGTGCTTTTCCTTGAATTCATTGATTTACTAACATAATCCCCTTTTTAATGCTAATTGAAAGCAGTTTAGGTCTTCGCTCTTTGTTATTCACACACTCCCAGGGGTCACTTTTCAGCATCTTCCTGTCTTCACCGCATTGCAGCCAAAAAAGGAAATGCAAGGCGTTTATATTAAGGAAAATTCCCCAAAAAACAAGCCTACTGTTGTTCGCAGCAGCATAACCAATCTTCTGTATGGCATGTATATTATTCAGTGTTGCATTTCATTGCATGTGCATGAAGATGAAGGACTTCTTAGTCAAGTTAAGACACAAGTTGTGCATTTGTGAGTAATATGAAAAGAATGTGTGATTCCATCCAACACAAATGAACTTCTGCCACGACTGTGCACATACATGCAGGCAGGAAAAGCTCTTGGAAGCCCTTCTCACATGAAACACTTTATCTTAAAAACTACATTTCCACCTTTTGGAAGCTGTGTTTACATTGCTACATCACTAATTGCTTGAATACCATTAAGGTTTTTCATGATTTTATTTCCAGCCAGTCTAAAGATGGAGGAAAATTCCCTGTCCACTTTTCAAACCTCTTGCCGGGAGGTATAAAAGTAAAGAGAGGCATCCAGGTATTCAGCCATGTTGGAAATGGCTGCAGGTTATTCCTGCAGGTAGCTGATGCATACTCTAAACGTGTCCACACATACACCAAATCCCACAGGCACAGGAGTTTACTGCCTATGGCTAAGTAAAGCAACCTCAATAAAAGACCACTTTTATTCAGGAAAAACATTGGGAATTTTTTTTTGCCTCTTGTGTATGATAAATATCTTAGATACTCTTCTGATTTCTAAATTAAAAGCAGTGAGTTGATTCCTTATTTTGTGCTAAATATACTATTTTCTGTCTGTGGTAGAAAAGGAGTTTGGCTTTTGTCATAGAAAAACTGTGTAAAGGTGAAGAATGAGTCAAGGCCTGCATGAGTCAAAACATATAAAGTGTTATTATGTGGGCCTACGCTGTCATGTCCACGGAAATTGCCACGTAACTTGGATAAAAACAGACTAAGTAAAACAAACTGTGGTGTGATTTTTGGCCTGGTTTGTCTTTTCTAGTCTTTTCTAACATGACTGCTATCAGTTTTTACAGGCACATGCAACTATCTGTGAAAGAAAATGAGCCAGAGGCTTCTGTTTTGTTGTGTGCTGCTGCTGCATGTGCTGGTCACGTGTAACTCAGGAATTAAGATATTCTTTATTTTCTTTCTATACCACGAGTACTGGAGCTCTTAGGGGAGCACCCAGTGAAGTAGGTTTATGTTGCCTAAAGGGACCTGAGCTGCAGGATTTGAAAAGCAATTATAGTGGTCCACTCTCCCTCCTGTATTCATTGTTCTCTGCATGTCTCTGTGAATTACATGGCTGATTTCACCAAGGGGCAAAGCTGCTTTTGCATGTTCTTTCAGTTTACTTTTGAGGCTCTTTTTAGTCTGAAAAGAGTATGCAGGCAGGTGTCAACTGTAGCATTGCAATGCCGTTTTTTTTCCCCTCCCTCCCAGCCTTTGTGTGCTTATGCAGCTCAGTCAAAACAAACCACTATGATGAACAATAGAGCTCTCTGTTTTGTCTTATGGCTGGTGTAAGTGGTGCTTATAGACAGGCAGACAGAGGGACTCTGTTTGAGAGCGATGCTTGCTCATTGGGAATTTTGAGATGTCTCCTTTGATGGCAGTCTTGGACAGATGCTTAACATGCATCATAAAGGAAAAGTGCCTTATAAATCTAGGTTTATAAGGCTTTGTTACAGTTTGTCATATATAATATGTACCTGTCTCTTTCAAATGTGGAAAATTATGACATTTAATGAACACTTATTTTGTAATTCAAAACAATCACTTGTCCCAGAGCTTTAAAAAAAAATGGGACAGACTGTTACCTTGGCTGCTTTCTAGACAACCATCTTATGTTTACACATAACTAAAGCAACATGGAGGCTTCCTGGGACTTGAGGAAAGAGTGCATGTCCCTGTAATTAGGAATTCTTTTTGCTGTGTCCATCCTACATCCAGGATGAAGCTGTGGAAGTGCTCAGAAGGCTGTTTGCACTTATTAGCAGGTTTCAGAGCAGCATGTCTGGTCTTGAGCTGCTGTTTGAAGTATGTTTGCTAAAGGCCATGTGCTAACCCATATTTGCTTTTCTGCTGTGATAGAAAAGCTGACTCAGGCTTTTGAAGGGGATGCCCTGCAGGTCTGGATTCCAGTTTTGTCTCATCATGATCCAAACTCTGTGCTGGCTGCTGTGAAATGCTGAGATATCGCCACAATAAAAGCCTTCCCTCAATCTGTTTGTAGTTTATGCATTTCAAGCAGTGCTGGCAGGATGTCCTTTTTTCTTTTCTCAAGTTGCACAAACCTCACCAATAGCACACATGCCCATAAAACTGTAATGAGCCTGGAATCAAACAGCAGACCAGCAGCCAGGTAAACATTTCCGTATCATAAAATAATTTCATCTATATTTGCTTTAGCCCAGAGAACTTCATAAAAACAAGCTCAAAGAGCGAGCCAAGCTGCTGCAGTACACAAACAGTCAGATTAGACAATAACTTTATTTTTAAATTTTTTAATTCATTTTTTTACCACCAGTTTGCAGGTAATTTTTATTGGCTCTTCGCAGAACTCTTTGTAAACTGGCATCAGCTGAATGATAGATGTTCATCAGTCCACTCAATCCTTTGTTGGTTATCATATCCCTGAGATGAGGATTCAAGCGTCAGAAACTGTTAAGGGAGCACTCGGCACTGGCAGTAGATATGGGCAGATGTTGTCCCATTGTTTCCGGTTTCACATCATGATGCTAACAGCATTCACATTATCAGCAGACTCTAAACATCTGAGATTTTACTTTTCTGTTTTTAATGACTAAAATATTGAAAAGCTGTTCTAATTTATTAATTTCTAAACTGCTTTTCTGCCTGCAAAAGCAAAGTGAGTGAAATCCAACTTTCTCAAAGTGTTAATTGAGCAGCTTAACCATGCACTGCTATGAACAGCAGCCGAAACAAAGCTTGCAAGGATGTTAACCAAGGATCCAAAGATGGCTCTGATGTTATAATTGTGTTAACAAGAGAGTGTAATTAAAATAAATGTACATTAGTACCCCTGCACACTACTGTAGCTGATATTATGGCAACTGTTTCTTAGTTATAGCTTCTAAATTATATTGACTTTTGAATTTGTGCTGCTTATTAGCAAACCAAATTCTTATATAAACTAGCATGATTTGTATAATTAATCAATTAGTCAGTTTAGTTTAGATTTTAGCTGACAACCATTCAAAGGTCATCCCTTGCAGGGTTCCTAAAGGGGTTGCAATTGCTTTTTAGGAGTGTCTACACACACAGGCATGAAATATTTATGGATATATGTGCAGAAATATTTGTATACCAGCCCTCGTCCTTCCAAGGAAACATTGTAAAATGCTCGAATTCTGCCCTGCCTTTTCTAAATGTCAGGTCTTTAGCAAAATGTGTAGTAAGCAGCTACTGTTGTTACTGAGAGAAGCATTTTTACACACGTTCAGGATTTTACTGTTGGAAACCACCCAGCACTTTACTGTGGACCAGTGGCATGCTGGGTGCTCATCTCCTCTCAGTCTGCTGTGTGTTGTGTCGAGTCTTGTGTTTTAGTACATGCTTCTTTTACACATAATGGAAACTGTGACCACAGAAATGCTTAAATAACAGTGCTCAGTCTGTGGGTGGTTTCCATAAAGTCTGAAACTGGTGGAACGTCCCAGTGCTGGGCACTCCCAGGATTGAAGGTAGCTGAATAAAGGAAGAGGTGTCAGTGGATGTTTGTGTGCACATGAACATCTCTATTTGCATGCTTAAACATGTACAAATATACAGCAGGGTCTTTCGAACATCAGAGGAGAAAGGGACTGCTGTGTTATTTGGGCAAATCTCCAAGACTGGGACACGAAAATGCATCTTTATTTCAATCCAAACAAAGTTCCCACTGTCCTCTTGATAGGACATTCAGAACACCAGTGTTTTAGATATTGGTTTAATTTAATATTATGTGTGGCATTCATTAGTTTTAGAAAATATACATGAGAACTCTTCAGCACAGAGTTAAACAACAGGAAGTTAAAGAAACTCAACAAATCACCTGATTTTGTTTGTTTTTTGTTTGTTTTTTTTTTAAGCTGCCAGAGATGCCTTGCTATCATATAACCATGCAAAAACTGACTTATTTTTATACAGTCAAACCCTACTCAGAATTATGTTGTTTTACCAGCTGTTAAAGACTCGAAACTCATGGCTCAAAGAAACCCAACCGTATTGCAGCTGAATTAATGTTTAATGATACACAAAATTACTTCTTAAAAAAACCAGAGAAACCCTTGATCCAAGCAGGCAGTGTGTTATCAGATTTAGCCGCCTCCTCATAACACAACACATGTGTAAAAGTGATTTGGCTGCAGTAAAAAAAATAAAATAAAAATTAATTTATTTTTTTTTAAGTTGTGAAAAATGAATGTGGTTAGCTGTGACAGAAACAACTGGCATATCAAAATATGCATAACATCAGATCAAAATTCTTAGCAAAACACAATTTTTATCTTCCAGCACCACAGTGCGCTAAGTTTCTGCCACTTTGCTGCCATCCATAAGTCACAATTTGTAATCATTATCCCAACTGGGTATCTCACAATTTTGATTTGCCTCTGCTAATCAGGAAATTTTGTTTTGTTTTGTTTTTTGTGGCTTAAACAAGTTTTGAAAAATGTATGCCTGGTTAAAGCTGTAACATTAAAAAATCATCCTGTTCAACAGTGAACTGGAAATGCATAACAATAAGTTTCTTTTATGTTCATGAGCAGGCATGTTTGAAAAAATAAAAAAATCTGTAACCTGTAAGTTGAAATGTGAACTGAACTGTAGTTTAAAAAATAGTTTTAAAACATTTACTGTGTTTTGGGGCTAACCCTTTAAACTGGTTTTATTGGTCTTTATAGGTTTGTCAGTGACTGAAGATGATGTCTGATGCCAGCGACATGTTGGCTGCTGCTCTTGAGCAGATGGATGGAATTATAGCAGGTAAACCTCTCCCATTAAAAAGCATCAGCGCAATATTTTACCATGACTTTTAGTACTCGTGAAAGCCTAAAGCAACAAAAGTCTCTGCGGGTCTTCCAGGTTGAGTCAACATTGATAAGCCCTTATCTGGTGTCTTGTTATGGCTTGTTGCACAGCTGACATTCAAGCTGTCATGTGATATCTTGTGCTCTATCTAGCCTTTATTCTTTGCACTTTGAGTCTGTGTAACTCTAAACCAGTGGTTCTTAAACTTTTTCTACCCCTTTTAAAAGCTGGGAAAAGTTAATGCCCCACCCCACGTATTTAACAATAAAAGAATCCAAGTGAAAAAGGTCAATCTGATAGCATCATTAAATTTTTTTTTTTTGGGGGGGGGGTGGTTTTTTTTTTTTGGGGGGGGGGTCCTTTTTTATTTATTTATTTATTTATTTATTTTTTTACCTGTATAAATCTCATCCAGTCACCTATATGCATTACATTTCTCTCCATATCCCTTCCCCCCGCAGTGGGTCTATGCCCAGATAGTGCGGTGTTATAATTTTTAGAAATGTGATACCTATAGTGTGCACAACTGTATTTCCAAAAGGTGGTGTCACTGTCTAAATTCTGAATAAAAACAAATCTCAGGAAGTCATTCATGTTATCACTAATTTAACACAAATGACTTGGCATGACATCATTTGACATGAACTGGTGAAAAGTCGAGAGAAAAAAAAGTTCTTTAGTCTGATCAATCAGTATTGATGTGATGGGGTGTATTAGTGCTTGTGACATGGGTAACATGCAATTCTGTAAAGGTGCTATTGATGCTGCAGCTTAATTGTAATGTATTCTGCCATCCAGACAATGTCTTTAAGATCTTTGATTATGTTAGCAAGATTATGCCAAACCAGATTCTACTTTAATTAAAGTAGCAAAGGTCTATAAGGAGGGTCCAGAAAATCTGTCAAAGAGAGCCCAACCTGTTGTAAGGATGGAACTTTTGTGACTTTGCCAGCCTTTTGTCCTCATCAGAAGGCTTAAAATGTTGCTAGAAAAAGAGGTGATGCAACACAGTGGTAAACATGCCTGTTCCAACCTTTATGAAATAACTTTTTTTTTTTTTTAAACATACACTTTGACAGTTATTCAGTTTCAGCATTTTTTATAAATTGTGTATTCAGTGTTGGCTTTAAATAATGTGATTACATTTTACACAGCATCCCAACATTTTGGAAAATTATATTGTGCTCTTCAATTACTGTTAGTGCCTGAGCCACAAAATGATTGATGTCCTCTGTAATCTAGCAGATGAGAACTTTTACTCACTAAAGCTTGTCAACAAACATCACATGCAGCATAAGATGACACTGCAGTCTGTCTCTGGACTAATTATATCCTCATATTTATTCCTGTTGTGATTCTTTTGTCTCAGGTTCCAAAGCTATAGACTACTCCAATGGTTTGTTTGACTGCCAGTCGCCTACGTCACCTTTTATGGGTAGTTTGCGAGCGCTTCACCTTTTGGAAGACCTAAGAAGTGTCCTAGAGTTGATGGACTCGGAGGAAAGGGAGAGTCTACGATGCCAGATCCCCGACTCCACAGCTGACAGCCTTGTTGAGTGGCTCCACGGTCACATGGTAAGACCCTTACTTGTGGATGTTAGAAATATCAGTTGGATTCATGGAAAGAGATAAAGTTTATTAGCAGGTCTTTAGAAATTGAAGCAAACAGACCACTTTTTGCTCTTCTGCCATCCAGAAAAGTGTAGCCTCAGGGTAAACCGTTGTAGCGCTTGTGTTGCATTTTCTGTTTTTGAAATCAGTGCAAGTTGTGTAATCTTGCCAGGTCTCGCTTGGAAATGAGATTTTTAATCTCAATGAGATTTTTTTACTTGGATAAATAAAGGACTAATAATAAAAAAAAATCATGGAAGGAGTTTCTCCTGTGATGGCTGGGCATGAAGTCCTTCAAACAAACTGTAGCACAGCTGGTTTGATTCTGATTGTTGCGTGTGCCAAATTAAAGCTGTATTAATACAGAACAGTGTGGCCAAACAGTCTTGTATCCAAGTCCACAGATGGCTTGTTTGCTAAGCGAAAAAACGCAGAACAATTGTCCTGTTCTGCTGAGTTCCCATGGAATCCAAGATGGATTAGCTGTGTTGGTGTCACAGTTGATGTGCATGCAGCAAGAAACGCACAGACTTCTTGGGAATCAGAGCAGTGACTGGCTGCAGGCCAGTGAGAGTTTTTGTGTAATGCTGTAACCCACTCTGTGTACAGCAGTCTGAATGTGAGCTCTCCATTTCAACCATGTAAGGTTTTATTTGTGCTGGGTGAAGTGGTGTAGCTGCTCAGGCACTTTGATGTGAAGAATTTCAGCTGAGAACATTAGTAGACATCAAAGACTTGAGGTTTTGTCTTTAAAGCGTAGGAATACATTATCATACCCTTGCAAATGGCTCAGTAGAGTTCTTCTAATAATTTATTTTTCTCTCCCCAGTCTAACGGACACATTTCATTGGGTGGAGGTGACCATTACCAGGAGAGGCTTTCACGACTAGAGAGTGATAAGGAGTCTCTTGTGCTTCAGGTACCTGCCTAGCAGTAATTCCATAATTTTACCATCTCCTCCACCGTCTATTTTCTGTAAAACTCCTGTGAAGCTCATCAATGTTACTTCTCCCTCTCATCGACCAGTCAAAAACAAGAAGGGGCAGGACTTGTGTTATCAACACTGTAAACAATGGTGGGGGAGAAATCATTTTTGTAACCTAGCAACATCAAGCATTGAAAGAATGCTTGAAGCTCTAAAAATTAGGTCAGGGGTTTGACACACAAAAAACACTTACTGATAAATATTGTTTTACTTAAGAAAATACTTAAACCAACACAGAGTTAAAAGGTGAAAATGGGGCACAGCCTGACGTCCTTGACAAACTCAATAAATCTGCTGCAGCTCTGAAAACTTCAAGAAACTGTGAATTTCTGAATAATAGTTCACATAATGTTTTATTATTGAATTCATTTTTGTTTGTTGATTTTTAATGAATTTCCCTGGGGTGGCAAATGGTTACTAATGTAATTATTAGTCAGTGTTTGTATAATTTATCCAGCTATGGGTGGACTCTCCAGGATCTGGAAAGGAACTGAAACATTGTAAAACCTAACTGGAGGTTTCAAAGCTTGCTTGTGTTTGTGCCCCACATGCAAAAAGTTTTATTGCACTTGAACTGTGATCAGATTTGTTTAGTTCTCGCCCTCAATGTTTTTAGGAGCAGGGTATCTGTATATGTTGATTGCATGATTCTACAGCTGCCGCCACCCCTGACGCACTAAGAGAGATTTCTCTTCTGACTTAAAACTTTTAAAAATCTATAATAGTACAAAGAGTGGAACGCATAACTTTGGCTCATCATGTTCTTTAATAACTTGGCCCTTGGTTTGTTTAATATCAGGCTTTGCTGTGTTCATGCAGGTGAGTGTACTGACAGACCAGGTTGAGGCTCAGGGGGAGAAGATTCGTGATCTGGACGTGTGTTTGGATGAGCACAGGGAGAAGCTCAACGCCACAGAGGAGATGCTGCAACAGGTCTGTGTGTGTTTGTGTGTTTGTCTTACACTCTGAGGACGGGAAGGCTATTCCCAAACCAAAGCCCCCCAGTAGTGAAAGTTGCAAATGGACATATGGTGCAGATGTGTTTGGGTGGTACTGACTCTCAACTGGAAGAGCTGAGTTCACGCTCTCCTGTCAAGTAAACATCTACTGTGTGCACTGCTGTGCTAAGTTTATAAGTGGGTGTAACAGGGGCGTCTTGTTAAAACTGTTAATCATTGAGGTTTTGCAGATGACTTTTTTGTGTCTCCACTTTTACACAATAATGCCTGTACTACCAGTGTTGTTTACACAGGTTGTTTGTTTGCTATTACAGGAGCTTCTGTGTAGAACTGCTCTGGAGACTCAGAAGCTTGAGCTTATGTCTGAAGTGTCCAACCTTAAGCTGAAACTCAACAGTATGAAAAACGAGAGGCTTGACTTTGATGACGGATTTAGGGACAGTGAGGTGAACTAATCCTCTTTGTTTCTGAATGTTTCTTTTCTATCTCACTTAACGCACACAGACACACAGACACACACAGACTCAACAATAATGAAACACTCATTTATTTTGTCTTAAACCTGGGGGAGAGAGGATCCCGTCTTATTATCAGTCTCAAAGTCATTTTTATTTCTTGTTGTTAGTGTTTGCTAAACTAGCCATTGACGGTATACCCACATTATTGTAATATTAATTGGATTTTTTTTTTTGTTACTTTATTAGACAAGATTTTTATAAAGATGTTGTCAGTCATTTGTTTACTAGAGATGGGAAGATCTCTGCTTCCCAGATAGACTGAGCAGAATGTCTGGAAAGCTTTCAAACACGTCATGGTCTTGTAGCAGCGCGGCCATCTCTTCCACCCCGCTGGAACAAAAAGCTGCTGTCTGTGTTCCGCCTCACAGCACATAAATCACTTCTTTTCTACAAGCAGCTTCCTCTCATTTTATCACTGCTGCTGCTTGGAAGCACTGATTTGCTGCTTTCAAATGCATTTGTAGTCACTTTATAGAACTTTGTGCTGATACAAGTCACATTTGCAAGATGGGAGCAGTTAATGAGATGTTAAAATTATTCACTTAAATTTCATTTTGGAATCTTAGAGTTAAAATTTTATCTAGAGGACAAAAATTATCCTTCAGTATTTAAGGTGTGACCTGTTCGTTTTTTGTTTTTTGTTTTTTTTTTTCTGTTCAGGATTTGATTCTTGAAATTAATGAGCTGCGGTACAGACTGACTGAACTGGAGACTGAAAAACTACAGTATGAAAAGAAACTTAAATCCACTAAGGTGAGTCATCCCAGAGCACTTTACTGGCTGTTTATGTATCTTAAAGACTAGTTTTACCCTTTTTTAAACAGCCAAAATCCACCATTCTGTTTAAAGTCAATACTTAACAGCTGTTCTTTTGTTCTTTTATGCCCTTTAAAAAATATATAATATCTGTATATCTCTTGTTACCTGGATAAAGTTATTCATGCAACCATTTCAGCTGCTATTTGTATAGTATTATGCTGTAGTCACAGTAGGGAAAACAGTGGTTTGAGACCACAGCACAGCCAGAATTTTTGCAACTATGCAATGAGCTTGGGATCTTGTTGCCTTGGAAATGGTTCCTTTGCAGATGTGGACGAGGACTGAAATCAGTCACAGTCAGTTGGCATTTGCAGAGCGGCTTTGATGGATCAAAATGGTGATAATACAGTGTCGGTTTTAAATTGAAATGAGGTTGAGTTGGCATTTACAACCCTAATTCCTAAAAAGTTCAGATGCTGTGTAAAATTTGAAGGGGAGGGGGGAAACTGAATGCAATCTATTCATCCATCTATATGTTTTCTTTCGTTTATCCGGGGCTCTGTTACACTATTGGAGCAGCAGCCTAAGCAGAGAAGCCCAGACCTCCCTCTCCCTGGCTAACTCCTCCAGCCTTTTCAGGGAAATACCAAGGTGTTGCCAGGCCAGCTGAGAGATATGTCTCCAGCATGTCCTGCATCTGCCCTGGGACCTCCTCCAGGTGGCGGATGGCTCACCCAGGAGGCGCCCAAGAGAGATCCTAGTAAGATGCCCAAGCCACCTCAACTGGCTCCTTTCAACGTGGAGGAGCAGCGGCTCTAATATAAGTGTCTCCCGGATGGCTGAACTCCTCACCTTATCTCTAAGAAGAGGCCAGCCACTCAGTAAAAGCTAATTTTTCTGCCCCTTGTATCTGCGATCTCATTCTTTCAGTCACTACCCAAAGCTTGTGACCATAGGTAAATTGAGAGCTTTACATTCATGCTCAGCTCTCTCTTCACCACGATGGACCCGCACAGCATCCGTGTCACTGCACCCAGAGCACCAATCTATCTGTCGATCTCCCACTCAATTCTCTCCTTCCTCGTGAACAAGACACCGAGATACTTAAACTCCCCCTTTGGGGCAGGAATTCATCCCTGACCCGGAGTGGGCATTCCACCCTTTTCCGCCTGAGGACAATGGCCTCAGATTTGGAAGTGCTGCTTCTCATTCCCACTGCTTCACACTCTGCTCCAAACTGCTCTAGTGTGAGCTGGAGGCCATCATCTGATAAAGCCAGCTTAATCACATCATCTTTGAAAAGCAGAGAGGAGATTCTGAGACCACTGAAGCAAAAAGCTTCTGCCACTTCTACACCTCCTATGGACAGAAAGTCCATAGGAGTTCTGACTTTTTGGAATTGTTTTGTACTTGCAATGTGTTTGTGATTAATCTGCAAAAATTGCAAATCTGTTGACATATGTGGCCAATCTGTTGCTGTCTACGTACACAGAATTTTACATCAAAAAATGTATTTATATTCAGCGTCCAGCCAGAACATCATAAATTTGAAACAGAAATTTCATAGTTCCTCCACAAATGGTGCCACACTGCTGCAGGATGGTGATTCAGCTTCTTCAAAATGACATTGGTGGTCAGCAGCCTTCCTTTTTATGTGGGATATAACCACAATGCAACCATTGACTTGAGTCCTCTATTGCAAAAAGGCTCATCGTAGATGATTTGCACTCACTGGAACAGTGACTCTGATTGATTGCAGTGTAATGGGGTGTTATGAATTAGATGACATATTGACAAACCTTTACCAAATTGTCTGAGAAGGACTGCAGTTATTTGGATTTGGAGTATAGTTGCCTTCTGCCAGGTAACTGATGCAATTGCTTTGAAGGTGGTCAGTCAGAGGCTGGGGGGTTACTAACCACCATGTTTTTTTTTTGTTTTTGTTTTTTCCCCCTCTCTCCTGGTCACAAAGAGTTTGTCACCCTTTTGCTTCTTAATCCAATTCCATTAACAACATCTGAGATTTCTTCATGTTTTTTAGGATTTTTTTCTTTCTCATTCAGAGATTCTCGTAGCTGTTTGAATGCTGTGAATTTAGGTTTTGGTTGCAAAATGAAACAAGTTCAAATATCAAATGGACCCTTAATTGTTACAACACAGACAAGAAAATTGTTTGTTTTACAGTTTGAAAAGAGAAGTTAACCAAGAACACAAAAAGCTAAACTAAACTAGGTGAAGGCCAGCTGACTATCAGACTGCCACCACCCTTTTATATGCTGAAGTTAGAAAAGGTGAAGGAGTGACTCTGCTTACTATAATTTTCCAGATGATTGCTTTGGATGTTTTCTATCTTATGCTTCTTGAACTGCATGTAGTAACTGTGTGTTGTTTGGGGGTTTTGTTGTTTGTTGCGGTGCCTACTTTTAATCTGCTTTAGTGGTCATTTTCCTGGAAATTTAGGTATTCAACATTTCTTGATCTCTTTTTATCTTCTCTCCTTCCCATTTCTGTTTTCTTCTTCTTTCCGTGGCTTGTCTCTTTACTGCTAGTCACTAATGGCCAAGCTTTCTAGCCTGAAAATCAAAATGGGCCAGATGCAGTATGAGAAACAGAGGAAAGAGCACAAACTCCAGGCGATGAAGGTCTGCTTTTCCCAGGATGACTGTTGTGCTTGCTGTATGATTATGGTTTTTTGACCTCTCCCTTTGGCACCTCTTCTTCTTCTTCTTCTTCTTCTTTTTAATTTTTGAGGCATAAAACGATTAAATCTGGTTAGATTCTGTTTTCACGCTCAAAAATGTATGTATTTTTGCAAATAATTTACTTAACCACGCATCACTGCATTTTGCTATAATGCATGGTTAAGTCAAGTGCAATCAGAAACACCACTTCCTTAAGTCTGCATTTACTAGGCACCAATTTTAGCAAATGCTAATTTTTAAACCACAAGTATGCTTTAATTCTGGGCTTTTGTTGAGTTGGCAGAGTTCTTCTTTCCTGTCCCTCTCTACAATTTTCCCACTCATTTCCTTTTTTTTTTAATCCACTCTATTATAACATGTACAAGATATATCTCTGTGCTTGACTCCTGCTTTGGTCATTTAAACATGTTGGTGTTTTCTTTTTGGAAATGGCTTGCATATTTAATATTATCCAAACACTTCCAGAGATCAGTGCTTATCACCCTCCTCATACTCGTTACCCTCCTGCAGCCTGTGTGCCATGTCATCCTCTGTGAACCCCTGTATTGTGGTTTGTTTGGACTGGGAGTGGGGGAGGTGGTAAAATCTTCTCACTGTTGTCCCCTGGTGAACAGGAGGAGCTAGCCATACTGAGGCGGCAGCTGGAGGGCAAAGACGGAGAGATGAGGAGACTGCAGGACGAGACGGGCTTCAAGGCCATCGGCTTGAACGGTGCAGAGCCCACAGACAGAGGTGGGGAAACCAGACAGATCACACGCCTCGCTGAAGATCAGCATTCCTGATGTTTATTTGGAGCAAGTTTTTACTTTATAATTTCTTGTCCTGTTTAGTCTCTCATCCAGATGAAACTCTTAGAAAGAGGCTGAAAGAAAAACGTAAGGGGGGTTTTTATGTCTGTGATTTTATTATTGCACTCACCTCCACCCCTGTTTGCATGAACGAGCATGAGCCATCTGAACTCTGCTTGTCCATTATAACCAGTTCCAGTGCTAGTACCCGACCACAGCGCGCCACATCTCAACTTTTTTTTTTTAATGGCACGAATCTTGTCACTGATTTTTAATGCCCGGCTACAACAGCAACGAGAACAGTTTGCCTTGTGTTTTTAGCAGGAATGAAGAATGAACTGTTTGTTGTGACCATTCAGACTGCTTACTCCACCTTCTGACTCATGTCTTCCAACGTTAATCACCTACCTCTCTTCACCAGCAACCTGTGTGTGCGTGTGTGCGCACCCTGCTAACCTGTCCTGCTGTTGTGCTTTTCAGTATCTTTCATGTACAGCTGTCTTAATAAATGTCCACTTTCCCATCAGTTATATATACTATACTCTACATTCATCTGTATAGAACAGTTTCATTTTTCATGCACAGCACACGCACTCTCCATGATTCTCTATATTGAAGTACAAATTACAAGTGTCCATTTTAAGAATCCTATTGACTAAAGCAAAAACACAAGCTACCTTCATGTCTTGAGCATACCTTTTAAACATTTACAGTGCAGGTGAGGAAAAATAAGCGAGGCCCCCGAGTTTAATAACTAGTCAAACTTTTCTTGGGTAGAAGTAACCTTGAATAAACATTTGTAGCTGTAGACCAGACCAGTGTAATGTTTAACAGGCATGTTTTTTTTTTGACAGTTTATCCTTAGGACTGCTTCTGCTCAGCCAGATTCTCAAAATGTTTCAGTATGAATGAGTTTCTTGAGGTCATTCTGCAGCTTTTCTATTAGGTTCACTCCAGAAGAAGGATTTTCTTTGTAGTCATCCTTGAGTAGATTTATTTCAAAGTTTTGGCCTTTTGTTTCACTGCCAACAATAACAGTTTGAGAGATATAAGCATAATTTGCAGTGTGAACTTAAAAAGAAAAATGAGGAAACTGAACAAGTGGAGGACAAAAAAAGTTCTGTTCATCCATCTGTTTTCTGGAGTATCAGAAATGTTCTAGGTGAAAGGGTGGCTGTGAAGAAAGAAGGGAAACTGGTAGAAAAGGCTGAGGTATGCCAAAATACACAAGCACTGAAAGGGACCGCTAACAGAGTGTGTGTCAGTGTGTTGAAAAGTGGAAATGTTTGAGCAAAGGTTAACATGTGAAACACCCGCTCACACCAACACTGTGTGTACGTTTGGTTTCTAAAAAGCAGTGTGGCCGTGATGTTGCTGGACTGACAGCCTGTAATGTTGCATCCTGTATGTTAAATTTTACATATCCTCACATTTTAACACCCTCAGACTTCACACCAGGAACTCTTTCAGTAATCTTTTTCTCCCTCTCTAGATGTGGAAGTCCAGAGGATGAAGAAGGCAGTGGAGTCTTTGATGGCAGCAAATGAAGAAAAGGTACATGTGACCAACTAGGACAGGGGTGTCAAACTCAAATACACAGTGGGCCAAAATTCAAAACTGGAACAAAGTCGCGGGCTAACATTAATATTTATTGAAGAAAAAAATCTTCCTCCAGATATAAGAATGAATCTTTTCTTACGGACTCAAACAAGTTTTGCTGAAAAACTGAATATGGAACAAGCAAAGCTTAATACTAAACAATATATATATTAGCTGTATAATACCAGTAAGCCAGCTCTAATAGTAATTTGGTATGGCCAGAGTTTGACACCTATGAACTAGGATTCACCTTGTATCACATCCCAGCTACCCAAAGCTGCTCCGGGGGGGAAAAACTGACCTCATTTTTCTTTTTCTTTACCTTTTCCTTTGCAGGATCGTAAAATTGAAGAACTGAAACAGTCACTGCTGCGGTACAAGAAAGTTCAAGACATGGTGATGTCCGTGCAGGGAAAGAAAGGTTAGACTCAGACTTACAATCTAAAAATTTAAGTATTTTGACAAATTTACATAAAATTTGATTCACAGCATTTAAAAACTGACATTAATGATGTGCTAAAATAATGCATTTTAAGCTTTAGCTGCCACACAGACCCTTCATCTATCCCTGGGTTGCTTGCCTTTTCCCCTTGTTGTTTGTATAGTCTTGTGTGTGAAAACTTTTGACCTACTTCCTACATCTTGTAAACAGGATCATGTGTTAAATAATTTGATTTTATATTTTGGTCCATTACAGAAACAAAGACAAACGATAATGAGCACATTGAGAGTTCTGGTGATGGATGCGCCACAGTCCCAGCTAGCTCTCCGTCTGTGGAGTCAGAAAAACAAGAAGGCACAGATGCTGAACAACTGAGAGGGAAAAGCCCAGATGAGGTTTGTGGAGAGGGAGAGGAGATGCTGCAAAGGGCCACGGGTCTGTCTCAAACTTGGTCGGTGCGTCTCAGTCATGTGGCATGCGGTTGCCTGTTCACCCACTAAGCTAAACTGGCACCCATGGTATCACTATTTAAATAGCAGAGAACATGAGATATTTTTAATTTTACTTTTACTGTTTTTCCTCCCCTGGAGCGACTTCACATATCATTAAACTCTAAAGTGCTCAGTAAAACACTCACACTCACAAAAACTTCACATTAATTTCACTCCTTTGGAAATGAGTGTTGAAGAGCTGGACAACCAATTAGTTGAATAACATCTTTTGTCAGATCTCTGTATGCAGATTTAGACTGTTCTCAGGGACTCTATAGAGTTTTTAAGTCACAGTTTTATTGCATTTAAATCTTCTTTTGTCTTTCTGACCCCGACTCAGATGGAAAGCCCCAGTAGACTAAGTGAAGAGCCCTCGCCTTCACCCAGCCCGTCTGATCCAGAGAGAGTGTCAGAATCTGAACCGGCAGATGCAGAAAGGTAAAGATTTTATGTGTTATACATGACTTTGTTTTTATTTTAACAATATTTTTAATTTACAAATTAAAAAACAAATAACCGGAGAACACTAGACACCAAAGAACCAAACAAACAGCAAATCCAAACATGGAAAACCACCAATCCTAGTGGAATCTCTTTCATATTCTTCACTGACAAACACAGTGAAATGGTGCTCATTCTGCCTGCATGTGTCTTGTATTTATATTACAATGCTGTAACTTGCCAGGAATTACATATTTTCACATTAAAATCTCAGAGTATTGGAAGCTCTCACTGCAATTTACGCTATAAATAAAGTGTAAATTTACACTGTAAATTGTGGTAAGAGCAGTGAAGCATGCTGTTTAATGCGCGTATATATTTAAATGATCCGGGGCAGTCCATGTGGCGTTGCACCACGTGTTTGACGTGTCACTGAGTGCTTGTTCTCATCTAATTTCCTGTCACACTCCACTGCAAAATGAACACAATGGAGCATTTAATAAGTATAAGACATGGTATTGTGCATTCAAGGAAGGAGAAAGGAGTGTGATTATTGTTAAGGATTGGTCATCTCCTTAGTATTATTTATTTTATTGTGAATGCATGTTTGCATGCTTGTTAGTACAGAAGTATAAAGACATAACATATTAGGATCGACTAAACCATTCACTTGACAGATGCTGCTGTAGTCCTGACACATGTTTTGTCCATTTCCTGCAGATGGTGTGTCGGGAAGTATCTACGTGTGGTTAATAATGTCCTGTAGACTCGCACTGCTAAGTAAAGTATAATGTTTAAAGTGATTTGCGTTGTGCTTTCAGCAGTCAAGAGAACACAAAGACTGTGACTCAGGATCACCTGGATGGGAGCAAAACTGAGCAGGTATGAGCAGAAATGACGTTGGCTAAAAACTGAAGACTGATTCTGTCTATTGTGATTTTTTTTATTTATTTTTTTCTCCCCCACTAATTTACCTCAAACTGCTTTTTCCAGCCTTACCCATTTTTTTTCCTTTCACATTTGAATTGTCTTTCATTTTAGTTTTTCTGGCATTTAGTATATGGAAGTACAGAATCTGTATACAAGCAATGTTTTTGTACTCTCAGAAGACAAGTGAGGAGATCGGTAGCATCAGTGAAAAGCCACCCATAAATCCTTCAGCCACCTTACCTGCCACCGTAGAGGACGATCCCTTTGGCTCGAGAAAGGCTCGGTCGTCTTTTGGAAAAGGTTTCTTCAAGATCCGCGGAGGCAAGAAGACGACCAGTAGTCCAAGCCTTGGTGAGTGCAAACGGCATGATTTGAGATCATGGAGTTAGTGGAAATGTGCTTTGTTCAGCTTTTAACCCACTACATGGTGAGAGTTTCTTCACATTTTTT